ATGAAATTCGCGCTCTAACCAAGAAGTTCGCTCACCGAACTTCTTGGCAAAGCCATACCGCACACTGACGGTTACAGTGTTTCCGTGGATATATATATATATATATATATATATCTATATATATATGTATATATATATAATCAGCTGATTAGCCATGGTAACTAGCTTTGGAATGCCTCTGTTATGATGCATCCTAAGAACATGGTTAATTCGATTGGCGCTACGGACAACATTTAGGTTAATCTCTAAGGGCATTTCAAATATTGAGGGTTTTTTTATGCGGAACCGAACTTAGGTTAATTCCTGCAGGTTAAAATCATTTCATGATACAGTATTCATCCTCTCTGCTAAATTCCGAAGTGTTGGATAATAGAAAACCCAGGTTCGTACGATACCGCGAGCTGCTTTAAGCTTACTTTACATGTTGTGAATATATACGTAGTTCAGTCAGTTCATTAGGTGGCTGTCGCACTCAGAGAGAATTTTCGGTCATTGTAGCAATACCTCTGACAATCTTTGGAACAATAGACTTCCAATCCTGCATGTTATCGCTCCAATTCATTTGTCACTGACTACCTGTTTGCCTACTAGAATGCTTTGGTTTTTGTCTCACCTGCAGGCACAAGAGCCCTGCTGGACTGGACGGTTTGTGCATCGATACAACCATTTTGAACGCTTTGAATCTCGTACACCCTGCGATCGAAACTATTTTGGTACGATCCGACGGCTACTGGAGATTACCAGCCCATATATCGTTAGATCTGCCACCGGACATGGATCAGTGGCAACCAGTTATTGGTCCACTGACAGAAATTGTCACCCAAGCTTTTTCTTCTATGGCGATGGTTAAAACGGGTGAGGCTAGAGGAACACAACCCTCAACTGCAACAGCTTGTACAACACCTGATTGGACTACGGGAGTATCTGCAACACCATCAACACCCCAACGAAGTGGTCAGTCAAGACCCAACTGTTTGAGTCGGTCGAAATCGGGCCCTGTTGGTGCACCACCTCTAACACCGGGCAAAGAGGTTATCTCTTCTCCCCCATGGCCCGTCTGGTCTGGATCACCATCCGTGCAAGAGAAGGTTGGCGGACCTCAGTCCTCAGAATCCGGATCTAATGAAGGGACTAATAACGTACGACAGCCAGGAGCCACACGACCATCCTCACAACCAAGTGAGTTTATGTCTCTCGACTTTACGATATATTGTCATTATTATTACTGCATTTGGCGCGCTCCGTCTCACTCCTACGACAAGACAAACCGGCTCCGCTACAGTGTAGACTGCGACACTTTTACCCAATTCTTTCTCCGACTATTTGATCTGCCATCAGTTTCACCTGAAGCTACCCCCGTACAAAGGTGGGCAAAAGATTCGTCACGTGACAGATTGTAAGCTACGGACAGTGCAGTCAGGAGTCCACGTACGGGGTCGTATCTTGTTCCGGTTACCCGCTGGATCTTGAAGCCACTAGCCCTTCAGTCTAGTTCGCGTGCTACTGTGTGGCCTTCATTGACTATGGTACTCACGTCCACGATTTCGTGTGCCCCGAATCAGTCTAACTGTTTTTGGTAGTGATGTTACGGCGCTAGTTAACTCAAGCCAAACAGTGGAGCCGTACACCTGAAGAAGAAAGATTATTGCTGACCTGTCTATCAAGTCATACGAAGCTCACCACCTCTGTTATGATGGTGGAATTCACCTCTGTCCCGTCACCGTACTCTTTAGGTTCGTGTACAGTTTTTGGTCTTTTGCATGCAAGGCGTATGCCAATCTATGCTCAATGTGCTGAGAGTTGCCTGTTTCACATGCAGCACCATGATCTATTAATCGGTACTCACACACAACACCTACCGAGCGTTTGTCACATAATTTCATGGTTGGTGCTCATCCGATGGATGTAATCGGGCCGATTGCACACCACAGCTGCTGTGCACACTGGATTGATCGAGCACCACGGCATCACCTAAGCCATTTGCGTAAGTTACTATGATGCGTACGAGCCAACTCACTGACTAGGCTTACTTCACATGTTACTTTTTGAGCCAACGTGACTCACCTATTGCGTGTAGGCCGTCATCGTGGACGTGTATTCAGTGCGCCGAAGGGATGTGAACACTGTCCATATCACTACATAGCCCGTTGTTTTACGAAAATTATATACAACCTCTGAACACGAAAAAATGTATTTCGGAACCTGGTCTCAGTCTACTAGTGGGCTACTTTTCCGTCCGGCTAGTTGAATATCTTTTATTGTGCGTAGTTGGTGCGGTGTCTTCGTATGCACTGTTGCTTAACTGCTGCCGTTTTTCGATCTCTCAACACACGTCAGTCGTGTAGGTACAGTACAGTCGTTCTCCCGTTTGTACTGCGTTTCTTTTAGCTTGTGTAGTATGGCTTGTTTCACTTGACCTTCCTGCCATCGGGACTAGAGACCATCAACTCCGAGCAGCACTACTGACTTCTCGTGCTTTGTGCCAACTTCAGCCACTCACTCGCAAATCAACGAGCAGAAAGATAGCGAACGAGCTGCTGTTAGAATCACTGCCTTTCCTCTATTACTCTAGCACCTGACGCTCAAAATGCTAAAATTCGGTTTGCTGGCGACAGTCGGTTATTGTTTTGGATACGTCCTGAGTTTCCAACCGGGTTTGATCAAATCGATAAATGCGGTTGAAACATAATGGAAACATCCGTTTTGCTCTAGAATGTAAATACTTTTTTATTCATGACCAGGATACATCCTCCAGGTGTGCTCTGGATCGTCGCACGTTTTCAACCTCAACTTACTCCCTCTTGATTGATCTGAGGGTGCCTAAAACATGGCCATCCGCATATCTCACCTCGCCAGGGGATGTTCTAATTTGGACTGTGAGAGGACCCAATCAGAATCCTGATTTTATGAAAAAATTAACTCAGGGTGTAGAATACCTCGATCCATTCAGGAAATCACGTGCAAAATCACAAGCCAGAAATTGTGGATTCTTAAGATTTATCGAAAGATGCGGCAATACATGTATAGAATACTTAACAAAGGGCTTACAAACCTCAAATTATGGGGGTTTCCGTCTGTTGTAGGAAGTAGTTCAAGTTCGAAAAAAGCCCGAAGAAGATGGCAAATCGATCTTAGTTTGCGACACACGCCTGGGCACAACACGTGGTAACGCAAAATGGTCAAAAAGCGCGTTTGAAAAATGTTCGACCAAATCGGTTGGACAAGTCAAGGACTAAAAGTTCATGAGGAATTACAAATGCATATCGAGTCCATGAGGTAGACGCAGTAAACAGCAGGCTCAGACAAGGGATGGGTTTGACCGGGGAAATGAAGTACACAGGGACGTGTGTAACTGCTTTTTTTTGCGGTGAAAACTTGTTCATCCTAGTTGATTCCTCGGATGAGAATCAACTCGTCCAATCTCCTGAAGGGTCTAAAATTGCTAGCTACGTTCCCATATCCGTAACACTTCGTCTCCACGTGATTGTGCAGTCACCACAGGCTTTTCAATAAACGTTGACTTCATCTATCGGATGAAATCTATGCCTGTATTTCGTGAGCCACGGCTTAGAACCTCTAACTCTAAATTTGGATAAAAAGTGGGGACCAAATGTGTTAAGCATGTGGACAGATCGGGTGGAAAAAGATGAGGACTAGGTTATTAAACGAACATTCCATTGTTATTACGGTAGTGAATCCAATTGGGTCGATCGCGGGGACTAATTACCAGCATGTGACTTGAATATTGCATTGACTTGCGGGCAGTACTTCTACCAATGTTGGTATTCCTCTCCCGCAGACAGACAGCTATTGTGGCCTTGGAGTCTGAAGTGTCCCAGTTGCTAGGGCACGAACTGTCAGTCGAAAGGGTCCTACTTCGAAACTCCTCTCTCGCGTTTTGCGTGTTGGTTTCTAGCCTTCGAAAACATGACAGTATCTTGGCTGTTCAGCTTCAATGGCAGCTGTTAATCGCAATTTCACTACATTCACACGAATGGCTGTTTTAATCTTTATATCGGTTGATGAATTGTTTTCCAGAGCCCGGAGAGTAACGTAACCTGGAAAGTGAGCTTAGGTACCAGACGGTTGCTGTTCGCCGCAACGCCTCGCAGTATCCTCCAGCCTGAATTCATCAATGGCTGTGTAAAGACAACACGAATCGGGTTGTTGTATGGGCGCCTGGTAGAATCGTAGCTTCTTGTTGCTTCTACTTCGCTCTGTCCTTAGCCGTACGATGACGATGATGATGATAATGATAATGTGTCTTATCTGTTCACCAATGTTGGTATTCCTCTCCCGCAGACAGACAGCTATTGTGGCCTTGGAGTCTGAAGTGTCCCAGTTGCTAGGGCACGAACTGTCAGTCGAAAGGGTCCTACTTCGAAACTCCTCTCTCGCGTTTTGCGTGTTGGTTTCTAGCCTTCGAAAACATGACAGTATCTTGGCTGTTCAGCTTCAATGGCAGCTGTTAATCGCAATTTCACTACATTCAGACGAATGGCTGTTTTAATCTTTATATCGGTTGATGAATTGTTTTCCAGAGCCCGGAGAGTAACGTAACCTGGAAAGTGAGCTTAGGTACCAGACGGTCGCTCTTCGCTGCAACGCGTCGCAGTATCCTCCAGCCTGAATTCATCAATGGCTGTGTAAAGACAACACGAATCGGGTTGTTGTATGGGCGCCTGGTAGAATCGTAGCTTCTTGTTGCTTCTACTTCGCTCTGTCCTTAGCCGTACGATGACGATGATGATGATAATGATAATGTGTCTTTATCTGTTCGTGCATGTTGCCTATTCGTGTGACCTCGTGTTTGTGCACGGGCGCACACACGTATTAATCACTCATCTGTCCATCTGTTCGATACACACTTTTTCACAAATCCGATCGTCTATCGGCAATAGAGTTGTTTGGTTACACACCGACACACCAACCAGGATCAATACTTCTAACCTAGCAGTTTTTACCGTCAATGGCTGGCTAGTTGGTGGATAGTTTAGCTAGCGTGTTAGTAGCTCAGCGTGTGTGTGGTCAGTTTGGACGGAGCAGAACGGAGCAGTGCGGACAGACAATTCTGAATCTGGTCGGCTGCATCCGGGAGAAATCTGTCACGCAGCAAATTCTGTCTTACGGCAAAAACAGTTTGATTTCAAACTTTGGCTGATGGACTTTCAACTTATTTGGGAGCTTCCAAAAACCAGTTGCTGGAAATTCATCCTATACATTACACACACACACACAAACATACGTACATATATTACATACACATTGGTATTCTAACCCATCGGCTTTGAGAAAGTGGAAGCGACCGTTTTTTTTTTCGGAAGTCGGTTGTAATTGTATAGGGAGTCGGGTACGATTTTTTTAGCCCGACGTTGTCGGTATTGCGAACAATCTTTCACACAATCTGTCCACACAATGCAACGGAAAGGGAGATCATACCCGTTGTAGTTGATTGTCATCTGTATGGCGCTTTGGTGAAGCACGGTGCCCAGAATATTCTAGGTAATGAATCGTCCAAGCCTGACACCATACGTGCCCTTTCCTGCTGTCCAGTGCACCATTTGCTATTGAGGGGAGTGTTGATAGCTCAGATAGTGTAGATGGTCGTTGATTGGTTGATCAGTGATGAAATGTTTTCAATCGAATTGTCCAACCAACGACCAATGTAGTAGTAGTGTAGGAGTAGTGCATGGTGCGGTGACGTTGGGGCTGTTGCATTCACCGCACAGAACTCACTATCGTTTAGCCGTGTCTGTCAGCACCTGTACAGTCTGCTGATTGACGTCACTGCGATGTCTTATTTGTCCGCTCGAAGAGATACCTGAAGTGCCCACAGAGGTTAGTTGTGACTACAGAGGCAGAGCGTTGAACGAAAGCTACAATAACACCGAACTATACTCATTTGCATCCCAATTTTGATTTGACGGGAGACTCAGCTGAATCTCCCGTTTATGCTACCCTTCAACTGAATGCGCTGCACAAAATTTGCCTCTTGTTTGAGTTCGAGATATCTCAGTATGTTTTTTCGAAGGAGACTACTTACAACGTCGCTGAAAAGTCGCCGACTGCTCACGACCGGTTACGTCCCTCTTGGGGAGCTCATCAGGTGGTCACAGTTTTGTGAGTGGTTCCCATCATGAAAATACATTGACATCGGTTTGTCACGGCGTTGCAGGTCATTGCAGACTGTTTATAGGAGAACTCAGCGAGCAGGGGCGATCTGGAACAGTACCGTTTTGTGCAGATTAGGTGCTGACCAAGGCCTCTCTCTTCAGAGGAGCATCGGCTTTTGATTGACTCACATGGAGCTTAGTTGTCAGAGTGTTTGTTTGCGCTCGGGTTGTCATCTTCTTCCGCGACATGCAGTTGAAAGGGAGGTTAACCGATTTCGTTGTGGATATATAATCCAGTACAAACCAATGGCGCGTCGTTTGCGCTAAAAGCCAGAAAACACGTATGCTGAACATTTTCGCCTTCCCAACCACTATATGACTATTTGAGATAAACCGATTCGTGCCTTTGAGGGTGGTAGATAAATTTGCCTTGAATCTCGATCGGAAATACCTACGGAGAGCGGGATAGCTCACGAGTACTGGCTGAGAGGCGCGTCGTTCGAATCTAACCCTGACCTTTCGATTACACCGGTCTAGGCTGAGTACCTGATAGCATCTGAGCCGCTCTGCTTCTTTCGGGTTATGTAGAAGCTGTGCACTTGAAAGACACCAGCTGAACGGTATGGTGTTTGCCATGGGGCATCTAGCTGTTCCCCAGGAGAGGCTGCTCTTGGAGGAGAGCTTGCTGTTTTCCGATTCTGTAACGTTACTCAACACTTCACCATATACGGGCACGTGAATGACATATAGTAGTGAGCTTGTGTGTGTGTGTGTTCCCAACAATATTATGCGTGCATCTTGTGCAGCTGTCGAACAACTTTCATGGATCCCTACCGAACTAGATGGTACATTTAATTTGCTCCTTTCCGTGTTTTAGTTACATGGCTGGGGATGCAGTCATCACCGCACGAGCAGCGTGTTACGTTGACCCCTCAGCATACACAATCGCCGAGATCAAGTTCTGATTCCTCGAACGCATGTCAATATCCATCGACGGATCCTGGGGACAGCAAATATCAGACAACGCTTCGTCAACCTATCTCAGCGTATGACAGCACTATTCCGCATCGCTCTACAGATGCTTTTGATGGCAACTCAAAAGCCCGCCGCAGTTCCACCGGTTCGACTCGCTTGACTGCCCTTGGTACCGAAACTGTTTCCACGTTGCCTACTGTTCCTGAGCACATGATGGTCCCCCAAACCGCGCAGATGGGCTGGTCCGATTCAGTCTCTTCTTCCTCAAGAAACGGTTCTCCAAGTAGGACCCCCTTATCAGCCAGTCATGCGGGCTCCTCACTACCCACCTCTCCCACTTTGGTAACTCGCCCCGTCGCATCATCGAACAGTTTTGCACTCACATCCATTCCGGGAGTGAATATGCATCCCACAGATCATATGGGCCCTAATGTAACGTCTCCGTCAACTTCTGTTGGATCTTCTGTCTGCCAGGACTCTATCTGCAAAAGCTTGTCTCGGGATCCTAGCAGTTTTGAGTCGAAAAGCCCATCAATGTCTGCGGCCTCCACAACGACTACCTACTGTTCCACCGTAACCAGTGAGGAAAGCATCCGGGCTATGAGTAAGCCCCAAGATCATGCTTTGATTGAAATATCGGAGGAGGAAATTGTGTGCAGACGAAGTGCCAACGAGCCCGAGTGCAACAAGAAGCCGACGTCATCGTTGAATATGGGGTTGGATTTCCTGCTTTCTGAAGAAAATTCGGTGGTTGAGCAAGCCGCTAACGGTGCACAAAACTCCAACCTGGTAGCGCAAGTTCAGCCATTGGGCGATCAATCTTTACTAGAAACCGGTACGATATCTAGCGATATCAACCCACCGGATGCTTGTGACCGACCACATTCCAGTCAGAGAAGAAATACACCGAATATCGTCCCAATTCCCAACATCGTGTCCAGCGCCGGTGACGACACAGCGAAGACCTCTTATCATGGTAGGAGGTTTTCGGGAAGCAGCGATACAAATGGACACTCGGCTCAACTCGAGTCAAATCCTGTTGTTAAGCGGATCAAATTGGATCCAGAATTAATCGAATCCGAGGCAATCGAGTCTGATCTGAAAGGAGGTTCTTCTAAGAATTGTTTCCGTGATTCATCCGAAGATTCCCAGTCTGTTGTTGCTGACCTAAAGAAATCTGAAGACGAAAAATCACAGCTACCCAGTCCGTTTCCGAAACAACTGACTAGCCCCTCATCCGTTGGAGGAAAGCAAGTTTTCTGCAAAAAAGAACAAGGACTTCAGGAAGAACCTTGCCCAAATGGCTCATTCACATCTTCGAACGACCGTTTTTTCAATGAACGCCTGTGCAGCGACTCCATTCATTGCTTATCTGCTCAGATTGATCGGATAGAAGCGTTTCTTGATGAATCTTACATCCGCTTTGTTGAAAACTTTCCGTGCGTTTGATTTCTCCCAGATAAACACATCACTGGGTCCTACTGGTTCCACATTACAGCATGGTCCATTCCATCCCACGACTAAGTTTTACCCATCTAAGCGCAACTACCATTTGTGTGGTGCGCTGTGCATTCTAAGTGGCCGCACTATGAGCATCGTTAGTCTGTTTTTATCGTGTTTCCGCATTTTACGAATACTCTGCTACTCGTTAGGTCTTGTATGTATGTTAACTTTACACTACTTTGTTTTCCCACCACAGCCGAGCGGTTGCCATTTGTACAAATATATTGTGACGATTTGAACTACTTAAATTAGTAGGTAGTAGTACGACAAATATTGAGAGAATCAAACATCATGTACTAATCTCAAAGGAAACCATATTTTTTGTCTGTAAGATGACGTTGATGATATTGATCGGTTGGGATCGTATGCCTTCGAAATTTGTAGTTACTTGTATTATTCAAAATGTGCATTTTCTACAACGTGACCTGCTTCGACTACTTTCAGAAGCTGACTTCTCACTCCGTTTTTGATTCTGCTGCGGACTTCGGAGCACGTTTTGAATCTCTCGTGTCCTTTTCCTGATATGAATTTTTCATATTTTTCAACCACTTTGTCTCCCAACAACCAAACAACTCACTGTGCATACAAACTAACATTATCTTCAATGTAAAAATGTTTTTCTTTCGCGGAGTGCTTCATCCAATTACAGAAATTCACTTTTTTTCTGGTTTTTTATCCCCCATCGCCTGTGTGAGGATATTCGTCTTCTCTGCCCCATAAAGTTTAGTTTTTGGTGGTTCAGTGAGGCAGGAAAACTTGGAGCACATAGGTTCATTTATAGGTCACTAGTGAAAGCAGATTGGTTATCTTAAATTGGCACTGGTAATAGGAACTCTTCCTAGACCCCTGGACTCATTAATTTGATGCAGCCTGAAATCACAAAGTGGACTTAGCAAATGAGTGATAGCGCGTTAAGTCCTTTCTGCGTGTAAACTATTCACACCGTGCTGAGGAGCTTGCGCCTGAATACTTTGTTGAATATCTAATCAGAATGTCACCGGTTCGTCACTTTCCGGACCTTAGTGAGATACGCACTGCTGCCATTTTACGTTTTTAAATAATGAATCAATACCGGGTACTCGCTTGTAATAGTTGCCCCTATCCGCAATTAATAGCCCTCAGACTCAAGACGCCTTCGAGTTATGACACGAATTCCTCCACTATTACTCTGTGTTGGTCGATCACGAATGAGTCAGGAGGATGTACCTGTGTCAGTTTTGACGCGCGTGTTTTGAAATGCCCATCATAATGGCAGCGTACTAGGGATGCGCAGAATGGTTGGTTTGGTAAGAGAGTTTGGTGGGAGAGAGAGCTCAGAGGCTCATTGCTTCGTCCAGTGTGTTTGCGAGCAATGTGAGATGCACGCCTACTTATTTACAAGAGTTACTTATCGATTTCCAAGGAAATTTTATGAATATTTTTCTACTCTAGACCAATAGTGTCCTGGCCCATGTTAATGACTGATCACTCATTTCGTCCTGCCGATATCTTATCCATCTTACGTGTGGCTTTTGAGCTGCCGCGAGGAACGTACTTCTGACGGACACCCTTCTTAGTGAGGTTAGGCTCATTCGCCGACACCTTTGCGAGGTTACTTACCCTCTTTGTGTATGGTTTCTTCACAGTCAATGCAATCATATAGGAACGTTTCAATCAATGTTCCGTCGACTATCAGGAAGCATGCCAAAAGTGTGGCAATTCATTCGAAAGTATCGTGATCGATGGTCAAATAAACGACTTCATAATGACCGGTGTGGACATCAAAGCTCGGCAGTCCAGCCGGCTGAAGTAGCATGGAGACTGTGTGAAAGCGCGGCATAAGTTACCGCCATGCGAGATGTAACCACTGTTTCGGGAAATGGATGTTTGTATGGAACGGACTAGGTAGCTCTGAAACACGCACTCACTCCCTCGCGTGGCACCGGACCAAACATCTACAGCTGATTAACTTTTCCGTGCTTAACTCATTGGTGTAAGCAGAGAGGTGGCCAACCCTGGACTTGGCAGAGGGATATGAAGGAGATTACGAAACGCTTGGGTGCTGTCGGTGCTACTCGCCTTCCAGGACGGGGACTGCGTGGTTGGAGACCGCGCTTTTTGGAGACACTACAAGGCGGCTGCCAACTGATGTCAGTGGCGTTCTTGTTGTCAGTTTCTATCCAGATTACCCGAATGAGTGTCTGGAGGTGTAGGCACCTCGGGGGGATTGTAGTAGGCTAGTACCAAGACCCTTCCCCGTCCACCTTTACTCTTTCCTTTACAATAAGGCTTTCGAATAAATCATGGTTGTACAGCAGTGGAGCATCGGTGTTGAATACTGATGTCATGCTGTCGATGATGATCAATGACGATGAACCCTGCCAGAACTACCAGGATGGAGGAAATTGAATTGACATTGGGACGATTATGCAGTCATCTTCGATCGCAGACTGTAATGATGTTATCACCGTATTACTGGGTGGAGGAAACTCCGTGCATTTGCACTCCTATATGTCCATATCAAGCGTGTTTGATTTCATCCCTATCACTTACGGTAGTCATTCACCACAATTCATCCAAAAATATGCCATCAATACGACCAGCTGATCAGTTCTGAGTATTGCATACCCAAGCATTTAGCGTGTACCTATTGATTTGTTCAGAATACTGCAAACATGGTGTTGTATCTTGCTGAACGGTTGTGCAACTCTATATCGATCCCTTGGCTTCCTGTTCCGCCCACTATGGTATATCAAAAGGCACGGTAGCTCTAAACAGCCCTTTATGGAGACAAAGGAAAATTATCACAACTGTATTTATAGGGTAGTCACAGAGTGTTCCACAAAGTTGTGCCAGAATCTCCGTGATGGGGCGAGAAACGTCGAGTCAAAGATGCTCGGCTCGGATTGGCTGGCATTCTGACCAATCAGGGCATGGCTTATTTTGCTCCGTATCTTGCATGTGATACCCGTCCAAATGATGTGATGTTCGGCTATTAGGGACGGCTGGCCTCCGGACAGATGGATTGCACTGTAATATGAAGGGGTGGTGTTTTTGAGGCACCAGAGCTTTTGTGTTCTGGTAGGGCTTGGATATTTCCCAGACTAACCGACACAACACCTGCAGATAGGACCTAGGCAATCGTGCCATTAAACAGCCCGAAGTAGGACTTATCATTGCAGTTTAACGAAGGAAGAATGCTGCACACTGTCTGGGACGTGAGGGGGTGCGAGTGACACTCGGTTTCAATTCATATAGTCGCAGTTCTATTGCATTTGAGTTCACCGGGGCAAACCACGGCAAAACCGAATTTCAGCAAAACTGTGAATACCGATTTATGGTCGTCGTGCTAAAAGAGCCATTCTAGAAGTACGGTTCGTAGTTCGTGACATTCGCCAAGCAAACTTGAACCCGATATTAACACACTGTGTATAAGTGACACGAATCGTGCACAGATATTATTTCTTGCTATCTTGGTCGACAGGTTGTTAAAATTGTGTTGCGTTGTATTTGCGCTCGTAGACATTTTCTACAATTCCAGCGACCCTATCCATAAAATCTGGCCCAGGCATTTCCATAACACCAAACTAGTTGTTAGAGCTCCGTGAAGTTTATGAAGACATACAAATGTACAAGATACCAAGGTGACGGATTAACCAGACCCGAACGTTTACACAATAAAAGCGATCGATGAACGACAGTGCACACACCTATTTGATTATTGTTCTGGCTTCGTTCACTAGGAAGGCTTAGCTGATTGAATGGAATCGGTTCCATTCAATCAGCTGACTAGGAGCACAGGTGTTAACATAAGTCGAACAGATCAGCCAACGTTTGAACTTCAAAACCAGAGCGACAAGCCAAGGGCATTCCTCTAAAAAAATCAGTAAACTAGGTTGTATAGGCATGCTCGTGTCTGCAACCAGGAATGTCAGCACTGGAAACAAATAGTAAGCCGAACTGTAGAATTTCCTATGCATCAAGTGAGTGGCCTACTCGGTGGCTTCTAGAAACATCTGACGCATTCAGAGTACTGTTTGGACCCTTTGGAATAAAGTCGCATTTGTATGGCCTGCGCACAACTTGCACGTATTTCGCGTCTTCACTTGAGCGGTAATACGTCATCTGGTATAGCGGTAACTCACATTTTGTTTTAATAGATGATGCAACAAGTACACAGTATATCAAGATGAAGGTAAGCAGCCAAACAGAACACCATGGAAGGAATTGAGATCCGGTGATCCAAAAGCGTACCCACATGGTTATCCCTCGAGCCGCCACGACTCACTAACATTTTTCTTACGATTAGCAACTCTCCTGAAAAACGCATCCACTTGTGTGCAATCTGAAACATCGCCGCACTCCAATCTGCTCACGTCGTTGTCGCTGCCCACGATTTAGTGAACTTTCAGGTTGATATGTTTCCGAAAGTCCCGACCCACACGCAAGATCCCTGCGTGGTTTCAGTTTCTTTTGACTGAGGTCAGCTGTAGTTGCATATTTCACAACGATTTAGTGAACTTTCAGGTTGATATGTTTCCGAAAGTCCCGACCCACACGCAAGATCCCTGCGTGGTTTCAGTTTCTTTTGACTGAGGTCAGCTGTAGTTGCAATATTTCACAAAAAAAACCGAAGAACATATTGTGAGATCATTGATGCGGTCCTGATGCCATCAGAAAAGTTGTATTCACGGATGTTCTACAAATCCATTTGCTATACAATCTTGATGGGTCCGGTTGACTCTATTGGTCAATTCTACTACGTATGCATTCCGTCTGCATAACTGGTTCGTTTGCTATTCGGTTTACTGTATTGCATTGTATGTGATCAGAACTACATCGGCCACTGAACTAGCATTGAGCCTGGATCTTATTCATTAGACTGGCTGAGTACCAGTACCGTGGAAGTCACAACAGCCGAAATCCCCTCTAGATCTAATCACCAGAGTAGGCCACGTTGGTAGACAAGCGATCGATGCGCTCTCCTCGGCAGACCAAAACCAAGAAGTCATACAAAATGTGGTCTGCGAGCGGATAGTCCTCAAACCTCTTTTTAGGCTGGTTGTGATCCTTTTGTAGCCCCAGTTGAGATGAAAAAAGATGAGGTTGACCGAGGCAACCGGTGGAGATGAAATTTGGAGAGTTTGTCAAAGGTTCTATCCGAAACAGTGAGTGCTCAGGTACTCAGCCTTAGACAGAAAGTCTACGGTATTTCGAAGGTTGTAACCCGGGGCCGTTTAAGGGCTTTCTTTTTGGTCATTCACTGCGTTCATTTTTTTCATGACTTAGAAACCGTGGGTGGGGATTCGATGACGGATAACATGTAAGACATAGTTGCAAAAACATCCTTGTGTCTCAAGTTAGTTTTCACATGAGAGTTTCAGGCGAGTCCAAGGCAAAACTGTTCTGCTTGTGCTGTAATGTCTTTTGGATGCGTTGCCTATGGACTGGTCATTCATTTTGAGCTCATAATCACGCTAAGTTGAAAATAGTAACTTTAGATGAGTTCCCCGTTGGTAAAATCAATTTTGACAATGCGTTGCTTCACACGAGTTTAGGTACGTTAGTTCCACTTTAGCAAAAAATCCCCACACATGGGAAGGCTTCCTTCCTCTGTTTTGTTACCACTGAGACCCGTTTGGAAAGAAGA